ATTGATCTGGTCTTAGAAAGGGGACGGGGGATTGATCGTAATTTGTGACAGACCTATTTCCTAAACTCATCAGCCTGCCTCTCTAAGAATGCCCCAGGTCATGCAAAAATAAAAGAAGGAAAACAACCCGTATCCCGTGGCCTAATAAATCAATGCACAAGGCAGAGAATAACTGGCAGCTCTGAAGAATATAAACAAAATCACTGGGACTTTCTTTATCAAAATGAAACATCTTTGGATCTGATAATCCGTGGATGTAAATGTAGATTGCTAGATTGAGATGTTACATTCACTACTGTGTCTGGGTGGGTGCTATGACACATGCAGAAGAGTTACTGTTGATTCAAAACCAATCAAAAGGAGATTAAAATCATTCTTTAAGATAAAGTTAACTGTGACAATATATCAGGCCATCTTTAATCGTGATTGTTCTCTGGAAGCTGTGTGTGTGTGTGTGTGAGAGGGACAGACAAACAGGCAGACAGATATTTAGACAAGATTTAGAGGGATGGTACATACAAAATAATGTAAAAACACACTAACTAATCTAATGTAACGCTCCATTAAAAATAAATGAACCTTGAAGTAACACCATCCCAATGAAAAGGTCATTACTCTAATAAGTGGCAGTTTGCAGCCTTTGTGAGCTGTAAAGGTTGTCTGGCACTTTGATGTATTTTAAAGCAACATGAGACATCTAACGGAGCTTTTAGCAAAACTGCAGGTGCATCTTTCAACAAAAAATTGGTTATTGGTGCTGTGTGGTCAAACTGAATTCATTATGAGGCAACATTTGTCTATAGTTGTAAACAAACCAAAGAGTATAGACATATAGCATGTAAGTGTTGACGAGTGAAAAATTGTCATGCAACCTAATATAATCAACCTCTGTATCATATTTAAAGCTTGTAAGGTAATGAGGATGTTGTTATTTATGAAGTTAATTTAAATATACTCTATTATATAGATTGTTTATGTCATTTTTTTGTATAACAAACCATTGTATCTCTTTGGTTATGAGATTAATTAAATCAACCTGTGTGTAAAAAGACACCTAAAGCCTTATGATTAATTTGTTTATAGATTGCTTTCATTTGACTATTACGCATGCTTAAGGAATGGTCATGCCAATAAAAGGTAAAATGACAAATATATGACTAGATATGTCATTGTGCAATTATTTCTCTGAAAGATTACTATTCATTTGAAAAAGAGAACACAAGCAGCTGACTTTTCCATGCTTATTTAGAAGGAATCATAACCTGCATGTCGTTTTGTGACAACAGTGTTAAGAAACCTTCTGCACTGGCTTACATGTAATTTAATAATAACAGGAGAACGTCTTCACAGCAATACAAATACCAGTAGTGTCAGCAAAAATGTACAATACAATTGCAACTGCTCATTCTGAAAAATGAAAGTAGCAATCTGGAAAGCTTATGCTTATCATTTCAAATGATAGACATTTTGGATTGACAATGCAAAAAAGGTTTTATTGAGCAAAGTGACTTGTTTAGACAAAGCAAGACGGACAGATACATGTCAGGCTGTGGGCTATGGAGTGTCAACGTTTCTGTTCCAGCTGGAGACAACACCACAGGATGTAATGGGACATGGTCTGACACTGGCTTGAGTGAAGAACTGTCTTCTCTTCTTTTTGTTAAAAGCGATAGCTACTTAAAGCAGAACAAAGCGGCTTCAGTCTGTCACATCTTAATCACAGTAGAAGTCCATGTTCTGAAAAGAAAAGGGATTTTAAGATGAATGTTGACAACCACCTATCAGTCCAGAAACAGAAAGTATGCATCTGAGATATTACAGATATTTTAGACTGAAATGTTTATTATAAAAGGATAAATATACGCACAGTTGTGGCGACCTTAACGGTGTTTTCAATAAACTTCTGTGTCTCGTTCACCATAGTTGCAGGGAAGTATCCAACGATGCCCATCTGGTCCACGTAGCGCTCACTGTAAACCTGACAGCAAAAATAACATGTTCAATATATATATGCTCAATGCGTTTGACCTTCCTGGCTTAATTTGAATGTATTCAAGATGTGTGTTACATTTAGCTTCAAAGACCAAATGTCAAATGTCTTTCTTGACATTTTGTTCTTGTCGAAAAGGAAAGCAAGAACAATCCTATTTGTTTGTAACAGCTGCTGCATGTCCTCTCTTGCATTTATAACTGATTGTAAGCTGCACTTAGTAACACAAATGCACATACACTTCCAGACCAGAAGACTCCGGCTCCCTCCTCTGGTATGAGTTTAGAATACACATAAACCTTCTGACCCAGCCTAAGGTTGATGAATCTGCAGTCAGGAGCTATGAAGTCATCCAGGACTGTGGCCATGGATACAACATCTAAAAAAGAGGAAATACACATTTACAACAACTTATCAATAACATGCATTTGATTGCCATGGTTTTAACTACAGTTTTGTGGACACACACTGCTCCATGCTTCTCTTCAATGCACTGACTTACATGAGCATTCTGCATCTCCACAAATCTTGTTGTCTGCTAGTTTATCCATATGGACGGCCCCCGCAGTCTCCTGCAGAAGTCCCACACAGAGCAGAATCACCAGTGGAAAACTCATGCTGACAGAAAGAGCTGAACCAAGAGAGTGTTGTTTGTGTATGAGTGTGAATGTGGACGTTTGAAGAAACTGGAGGCTGAAAACCTTCCCATAACAGTTTTCTCAGTGAGGACTGAATGGGCCGAGCCCTGACACAGAGGCTGGCTGACCAATCAGCGTTGGATTTCAGAAATGCCCCACTGTGAAAGTATTCATTTCCCACAGGGGAGTTGGCTGACTTTTCTCAGATCTTAGTCTCTTTGAAGGAACAAGCGCAGGCAGAGTTTAGATGAAGTGTTTGTCTTGAGCTTTGTGCAAAAGTCCATGTGCTGAAATAAGCATTTTAACAATATAATAACTTATAAGGGATTTTACATTACTGGAGGAAAAATCTAAGTTGAAGTGCAACTTCTTAAATGAGTTTAAACAATGAAGAACTGAGTTACTCTGTTTTCTGTCAAACTAACATTCAGCAATGGTGATTTGATTCTAAAAGCCTGTGTATCTTTCTGGTTCAAATATACAGTTAAAACAAAATTGTAAAAATGCCAAGGAACAAATAAACTTAAGAAATCACTCTACACAGGATGTGATAATGTTGGGAAATTCACAACTAATTATCTGTAATTTTAACAACTGGAGCAAATGTAATGTAAGCTTTCTGGCAACAACTTGTTCAATTCAAAATCTAGACCAGTTGTTTTCCGAGACAAATTAGTTAAATCAATTCAACCAAACCTAGTCTAAGTTACATTTCAAAAGGTCCACACGTTCAGAAAATTGTTATACCAACTTATGGAGTTAGACCCACTTCCAAAGGGTGTCAAAAATGATGGCCTATAATCATTCTGAACCTTGTCTAATCTACTAATATTTGTTATTGCAACCCTTTCTGTCCACTCAAGAGGTGTCAAATGTCCATGGAGTTTTGAGAAATATAGGGGTTATATACTCCACCCAACACATGATGGTGCTTGTCCTCTATGGACAACACAATATAACCACTCAATGTGTTTATATGTTTCTTTTAGCCATGCAGGTACAACAATAACAGTCTGGCAAAACCAGTGTTATCGTTGCAATACTGTGGGATTCATCAAAGTCTCAGACTGTGGGACTCCCCTCAGACAAAGCTTGGAAAAAGGCGCCACCTCAAGATTATTTCTTGTTTTGCTCAAATCCTGGATGCTTACTTGATATGTTATTTGATCTCATAGACACTAAACAATTAAGTAAAGATAGCCTAAGCATTCTGTTGACATAACTTCGAAATACAAAGGTCTGTCTTAAAGTGTTATTAATGTATGACTCTGGGAAAATGTAAAACGGTTTATGCAATCTTTTTTGATAAGTAGTTTAATAACGTATGTGATATTGGTTTTACATCCATTCACTTTCAAGAAAATATGAAGCCTTCCTGTTCCTTCTACTGAAATCTCTGTTGTAGTGCTGTTGGATAGGGAAGATGATATGTGTTAGTATGCACAACATTAATGGATAAGCCAAACTAAATGTAGGGTTGGGTTGGGTATAGGCCTTCAGTCTCGGTGTATTTACTGTATTATGAAACAGAAAGTAAATTAATGTCATCTACGTCACACTGATTAACAAGTATTTTTGAGTGAGTTAACATACCCTTTGTGGAAAAAACTAAAAAACCACTTCGTTTTTATTATCTGACCTTTTCTGTGTTATTAGAATATGTGAATATTATATTTCCACAATATTCTGAATATGCAGAGGTGGGAAGTAGTGGAGTACAAATACTTTGTTACTGTACTTAAGTACATTTTTGTTTTTACTTCTAACATTTTTAACACAAATATCTGTACTTTCTACTTCTTACTTCAAAACAGGCTGGTGTGGTGACCACCTATTTAACCACTGGGACATCATTCAAACTTGGAACTACAGTTGCGGTTATTGTTCCCACACGGACATGTTATGGGTTACCTATAAATAGTGTGTACCCTCTTGGCTCTTTCTTGTCGACCCGGGCTGCGACCCGACAACATGTCCTTTGCAGTTTGTGAATAAATCACTATTCTTGCACCGCCCCTGACTCCATATCTTTCGGCACTACACTGGTTACTTTATTTTAATCTGCGTTAATGTGTACTATGACTGAATAAGAAAAGCCTCAAAATGTAACCTATGGGTAAAATATTGGTATATTACTAAGTTGATGACATATTTTTTGATCTTGTGTAATTTTTTGGAATCGTCTGATGCAAACCTGTGTAAAACTGAGTTAACATGTGGTTGACCGCTGTGAGAACCTGCGTAGCCAGGCTGGCGGGGTTTAAACCTACATAGTTTTGGAAGTAGGAAAATGATATCAACCGCCCATTCGCGCTGCTAAGTTGTCAAATCAAGCACACCCCATTGACATTTAGAGCTATGACGTAGGCAGGCTGTAAACTCAAAGCGACGGTGTTGGACGGGGCTGTTATTGTTCGGTTTGAAGAGTTTGCGGGCGGTCGGTCCTTTGTTTTTATTTAGGGGGTTGTAAGCTACCACTAGCAGAATAACTCGTCTCAAAAACCATCACCTGCAAGCCTGGGCTGAGGTTTATTTTAATGATATAGCAGCATTTCAAACCAGGTAGTGGTAAGCTTACAAGTCCCCAAAATAAGCTGATGGATTCGCGGGTATCGGAGTTGTTTGGTTCAGGAAATGACTCTGGATCTCAAGATGTTGCGTCCAATGTTTTGCCGGGAAACAGCTATGGGGTAGCCCTAAAAAAATCATGTGTAAAGATGCACAAGAAGTCCAAATCGCGATTCGCCCGCAACTTCAAACCAAGCAATAACCCACCATATCTACCTCCGGAGGTAAGCCTGCAATTAAGCCCACAACTAGCTTCACGGCTAGTTAAAGCTATTACGAAGCAAAGTATTGTAATTTTGAACGTCATTGTGTGCATGTTGAGGCATTCTAAAACCTAATTCCAGATTATAATACATTCCCTGTCTCCGATATGCTTCCTTGAATTGTGTTGGACATAACAGGCAGTGACACGTAGCTCGTCGGTAACTATAACTTAATGGAAAATGAATTAGATGCATACCTTCTGCTTACATTAGCAATGTAATGTAACAATGCTCGTTACATTACACACATTCCCAGTAGTTCTACAGTAAAAAGACCTGTGTTCATTAATAGCAGCTTGAAGGCTAGTATTTTGCTAGCTAGCTAACTAACGGAGGCGGAACAGCTGTGTTTGTAAATATGTTATGGGGGGCGGTGTGTATTCTGTCGGGTCAAAGCTAGCGAATCTTACTATTACTGTCCCTGACTCAGTACTGTGTTACTACACACTGATTACTGGTTTACAATGAGTAATACCTACAATTACATACTTGACATTGAATCCCTCAATAACATGACAAAATAATGTTGAAAAAGTTTTGACCTCAAAGCCAAACTAATTTAACCTAAAGCAAAATAAAAGCATTTTATAAATAACTTTTTACATAATATATAATAAAGACTATCTTGGGCATATTTTCCCTAAAGGTAAGCAATAAGCAGCATTTTGCCAGCTCTATGCTCATATCTTTATGTGTTATGGGACATGTCTCAACATACCCCATGGCCTCAGTGGTTCTCTCACCTTTGTTACCAGCTCCATTGTTCTGCAGTGAACACACTTTTTAGTATACATTTTGGATACTAGCTAGCATTTAGATATGCGTGTGCTTTGTCTAATTACACATTAAGAATGTATGTATTAAGGCTAACTAAGCAGGTTGTATAGTTCTCGGTGACAACCTATTCACAGAATGACCCCTCATTCAGTCAGATTGCTTTTCTTTGTGTCTTTTAACAAATCAATAGCCTGTTGTCTCACTTCGCTACAGTCTGACAGCTTTTGTTCCTGTTCTGTCTCTTTCTTTCTCTCCTTGTCTATCAGGCTGAAGAGGGAAATATAGAGTACAAGGTAAGCAAATTATGTGTCATTCAAGATTGTACTGTGTTCTAAAATATATGATGGTTTTATTCATAATAAAATATGTCAGAATAAGTGCATTCTTGCATTATATACCATGAAAACTGAACACCACAGGCACAGTGGATAAGCTCGAGCAGTTATTGTATCTGCACTACTCCTGCTAGATCAACATGCAATATTGTATATAAGATGTTTGTATAGCCCCAACCCTACCGTAACTGTTTGTAATGCTAGTTATTTGCACTACAAGTATTAAACCACGGACGAGACCCATTTGAATCTCTATCATCCAGGTTTAAGTTCAGCAGACATTTCCATTGTCTTTCCTTTTTCTAGCTCAAGCTAATAAACCCCACACAATACCGCTTCGAGCACCTGGCTACGCAGATGAAATGGCGACTGCAGGAAGGTCGAGGCGAAGCTGTCTATCAAATAGGTGTTGAGGATAACGGCATTTTGGCGGGACTATCAGAGGAAGATTTGAGAACATCACTAAATACGCTCCATGAGCTGGCAGAGAAGTAAGTCAAGTTTACAAATTCACATTTTATTGGAAGCTAAGTGTATTGTAACTGTTTGGTGTCAAGTCACAAGCCTATCCAAACATACTGTTAATACAAATCTGCTAATAACAACAAAGCAATTGTCCAATTGGCCAATATGAATGCATACTATAAGCAACACCTGGTTACTTGAATTATGTATTTGTGTTTTGATTTCTAACAGGGTTGGAGCCGACATCACTGTTCTCAGAGAAAGAGAGGTGGACTTTGACTCGGATGTGCCTCGTAAAATTGCTGAAGTTCTCATCCGCAAGGTGCCAGATGACCAGCAGGTAAGTTGGGGCCACTGTGAAGAGATGTTGTTGATTTGTTCATAATTCAAATGTTAACCCTGCTCATTCTTTGTGTTTCTCCTGCAGTTCTTGGACTTGCGAGTAGCTGTTATAGGTAATGTGGACTCGGGAAAGTCCACTCTGTTAGGTGTCCTGACACAGGGGGAGCTGGACAATGGACGGGGAAGAGCGAGGCTAAACCTCTTCAGACATCTACATGAGATCCAGACTGGACGCACTTCCAGCATCAGCTTTGAGATCCTTGGCTTCAATAGCAAAGGGGAGGTGAGAAAAGATCGAAAGGCAGAAAATAAATAATGTGTTTTCTAGTAATATCCTATTTCATATTTGTTTTATAAATAGCAACACAAGTTAAAATCACAGGGTTGCATTATCAAGATACTCAAGTAGTTCAGACAAGTTGATATGGTTTTCTAAATAGTGATATAAAGAGGAAAGAAAGTTTAATTGACTGACACGGACCTCACCTCAAAAACTCACCTCGTCAAACTAGCTTTTAATGTGTGATTGTTGTTTTATTGACTTGAATGTGACTTTTACTATATTTATTTGTTGTCCTTTTTTTACTACCTCTGTAAAGCGACTCTGAGCACCTGTAAAAGCGCTTACAAAATAAATACATTATGAATGCAATGTATTGTTAATGCTTCATGTAATGTGAGTGACTAATCTAGTCTGAGCTATATTTCAAATGAATAACTGAGGAATATGGTTTTTAGTTTAGATCATGACACTCAATACATATTGGCTTCTTTTCCCAGGTTGTGAATTACAGCGAGTCTCGGACAGCAGAGGAGATTTGTGAGAGTGCCTCTAAAATGATCACATTCATAGATCTGGCGGGTCACCATAAATACCTGAAGACCACCATCTTTGGCCTCACCAGCTACTGTCCTGATTTCGCTATGCTGGTCGTCAGCGCAAATACCGGCATTGGTGAGCATTCATTGGTTCATTTAAGTTTAATTATTGTTTGTTGAAATAAAAGTGTTGAGGTGTCTTTATTTGTGCCCTTAATCTAGTGACTTTACTATTTAAAAAAAGACAAGTTGAAAGTATATCTGTCACAGGGAGAGAGGCAGGTAATAGACACTTGCAGGGCGAGTCTGACGGACAGCCTATGTTTGTGTACACTTTTAGTAGACTTGGCCAGCTGTGACTTTGCATGTGATATTTGATCTTATGTAACTGACCACCGTTCTTCCACAGCCACTGCTGTCCCTGCCTGCCACTACTCAAATACCATCCATTAATGTTAGTCCTCTGACCTGCTGGAAGTCACTCTGTATCTCCCTCCTTGCATGAAGCTGAAAATCTTCAACTTACAACCAACTTTTAACTTTTCGTTCTTGTCCCATAGAAAATTATTCAGATGAACTTTGCGCTGCGCTGTCTTTAGTGGGTATTTATTGTCACGTTGACCTAACATTTGCAAAACGTATTCTGATTATTTGAATTCTGTATGCATCACATGCTTTCAACAACCCAGACCTTTTATGATAACAGCAGCTGAGACTGAGTGCAGGAAGTAATTACCACTAAAGTCCAGAAAGGACTTTTGAAGCCTGACGAGTTAAAACCGGTTGGACAGGCTATGCTGCTCTTGCTTTGCTTGTAAAAGACAAGTTGCTTGTTTACTGTCTTTATTTATGTTTATTGCTTTAATACTATTATACAAATTGATTTGGTTTTGTACATTTTGCAAAACAAAATCCTGTCAGAAGTGGGATTCGAACCCACGCCTCCAGAGGAGACTGCGACCTGAACGCAGCGCCTTAGACCGCTCGGCCATCCTGACGTAAAACAGGCTGTAATGGCTGTGCGTAATCTCTTTCAGGAGGGGGAGGGGTTGGGCGCTTTGGAATGCACAGCATGTGTGCCCAGATAAGAACACAATGTTAACAACGTGTGACCTCCTGTAAAGAATCCATGTGCTTTGTAAGCAAAAGCCTTAAATAACATGAGGTGATGAGGAACCCATATTTCTGTGTTGCTTCTTTTTGAAAGAGGTAAAGAAACATGTAGATGAAACATAAGCCTTGGACACAACACATGTTTCTCAGACCAACCTGTAGTAGTAGCTGGATAACCTGTAGAGTGTGCTGTGTTTGTGTGGGTGTCTTTTAGGGTGAGGGGAAATGGGGTTAAGAACGAGGACTTCCTTAGCTACGTAACAGACGGAAAGGGAACACAGTGTCTGCAACCCTAGAGCAACAGCTTGAATTATAAAACAGGGAAATGAATATGTGTAATGCATAGGACTTGTCTTAGGTTATATCTGTGACGAGCCAAATATCTTTACACCTACACGAAGGGTGAGGATATTTTCCTATGCACCTTGACTTTGGATGCACTGAAAATAACACACCCAAAAAAACAACCCGCTGATGAGGAGAATTTAAGTCAACCTGTATGGGTCAGTCCCCTTGAACTCTTTTGAGATGTAGGTTGCCTTGAGTGCTATATCTGAACTGATACATAATCTCCATAAACATACACACTGTACCAATATCACTTTCTCTCACACGTCGTCATTTACAAACGAACAGGACACATGCCTCCAGGACTCTGCTTCCCCTGTGAGAAGTCTGTGTTTAAAACAGAAAGCATTAATTACATAATTAATATAAAGTGTTAAATATTCCTGTATTGATATCCTACCTTTGATGGCTACAATCATACGTCATGTTACATTCTATCTGTTCTTATCATTTGTGTACATTCTATTTCGACCCTCTGACTCACAGTAAGAGACAGAAGATAAGCAGTGTTAACAGTCCTGTCCCTCAAGGATGTGGATTTCGATTCATGTCCATTAATTGCAAATTCATCTGTATATGAACATCATGCACAATATAAATCAATATTGCATTTGTGCACTTGTGAAACCAAGCTTAAATATGTGAAGTGGTGCCCCTAACTGACTCATTTAAGAAGCCCTACACCTAACGAAATCCCTTCTTCTTCTTCTCCTTTCTCTTTTCCAGCTGGTACAACACGGGAGCATCTTGGGATTGCCATGGCCCTGAAGGTGCCCATCTTCATCGTCATCAGTAAAGTAGACCTCTGTATGCGAGCCACAGTGGAGCGCACCGTGCGGCAGTTGGAGCGTGTCCTGAAGCAGCCGGGCTGTAACAAGGTGCCCATGGTTGTGAGCAGCACGGACGATGCCGTCACAGCAGCACAGCAGTTCGCACAATCACCCAAGTATGGAACAATAAGATAAACTTAACTGAGTGTGTCAATGAACTGTTTGTTTTGGGTGTGCCCACTCTATAATGTAACACTCGTATACAAGTATAATGTAAAAACTGGCCAGTAGGGCTGTAGTCAACCAAAGAATATCTTTGTCAACTGAAATTATATCTAGTTTTTAACCAATCGATTGCTTGATAGGGGAAAGGGCAACAAAAAAATCTGCTTATTATCTCTAGATCAAGGTTGGTAAACATAGGCCGTCTGTTTTTAGTTGTAGCCGAGAGATCAGCACGATATCACAGGTTGTACATCATCTGTTTTGTAAATTGATTATTCATTAATTATGAATGTTTTCACACAATACTTTAACACTCAAAAGAAAGGAAACCTTGTTGTTATTTATCGGTTATTACGCAGCGGCTTTAGTCGTCCTACCCACTTGAAATCAAAGTATGTGTTCTGATCACTTGCTTTTACTCTCTGGCAGCATCACACCCATCTTCACCCTGTCCTGTGTGACTGGAGAGAGTCTAGACTTGATCAAGGTCTTTCTAAACATCATCCCTCCTCTCAGCAACAGCAAGGAGCAGGAGGAGCTTATGCAACAGCTAACTGAGTTTCAGGTATGACCGTGATGGAGTTTAATAATGCATGGAAGTGATCAGCTGGCCCAGAGACACTCTTGCAGACGCAGTGTAAATACACATGTTTTTGACTGACACCAGTGCGCATTATTACAGGTGGATGAGATATACACAGTGCCAGAGGTGGGGACTGTGGTGGGAGGAACTCTGTCCAGGTCAGTGTGTGGAAATGCTAACCTTATGTTCATCTGTACAACACTGTTTTCTGTTTATTATGGACTTTTTCTCTGACCAACTGTCCTCTCTGAATGTGCAGTGGTATTTGCCGTGAGGGAGATGATCTTGTGGTAGGGCCCACAGACTTGGGCCAGTTCCACAAGTTAACCATCGAGAGCATCCAAAGAAACCGCTCAGCGTGCCGGGTCCTCAGGGCCGGCCAGGCGGCCACACTCGCCCTGGGCAACTTCGAACGCTCACTACTACGCAAGGTCAGACTTCTAACTCTTTCTCTCTATACTGTTTGCCTTTCTTAATATTTAGAGAGAAAACATTTAAATTGAATCAACTTTTAGGTTTCACACATGTACAAGCCCTGCATACACAGTGCACTTTAAACCATGCATTAAAGCATTCCTAGGAGATGAGTGTGGGGTGTGGTGCCTTGCTAAAGGGACCCCCACAGTAGGGCTGCATGATTTTGGGACAAGATTTTCTGACAAGTATTGCGATTGCGATTCGATTTGCGATATTTGTTTTTAAGCGACCCAACGGAAGTTAATTGTAAAATGCGGCCATAACTCCGGCTAGGAAGGTCGTATCAACGTGCTCCCGTCTCTAGCACTCTCGCAGCCCGAGCTACGAGTGAAAGAACTAAACTTACATGAAACTTCCGTTGGGTTGCTTTAAACTTAAAGTCAAGCTTCAGTTTAAGATTCACCCTGTAATAGAAACATGTGATGGAGCATTACTAACCTGACCCAGATGGTTTGTTTCACCAAACCATCTAGGAAAGCTCCATTGGAAGCTATTTGAAAAGGGCAGGCACTTTCAAAAATACTTGGCAGGTGATTGGATCAATCACCTTCTATCATGGGCCACTTCTGATTGGTTAACAATGGCTGGTACATGTGGAACAAAGCACTTCTGATTGGTGTGGATGACTGACAGACAAGAAGAACAAAAAAAAAAGAAAAAATGTTTAAAAAAAAAAAAAAGTTAATTTTTTTAATTTAAAATTGATTAACCGTTCAACCCTACCCCGCAGTGCAGAGGAGTTAGAACTGGCACCTCTTAAAGTAATCAATCAATCAATATCAATAGGATACGGCTGTAATAGGCCTAAGGCCTTTTAGTCGCTCATAAATAAATGAGTAGATCACTGATTCTTTATTTACTACATAGTCCAAAGTGAAGGTGATGTTTGACCAGTAGTGGTCGAGGCGGGATTTGAGACAGTTAACCGTCTTGGATGTGACAACGCTTTCTGGCAGATCATTCCACAAGTCAACCACACGCAGGCTGAAAAAGTTGCGGCGGATAGCCAGTCTTGAGTACTGTTTCTTCAACTTGAGGCAGTGTCCACGAGTCCTGGTGTTATAATCCCGTTGTAGTGGGCATGATGTTTTGTAGCTGTTGTGGAGATATTTGAAAACTTCGATCATATCTCTCCTCGCCCTTCTATAATACATACTCGGGATTTGTATGTAATGGTCCACTTTCTAAAACTTGGTCCGTTTGTGGACTTGAACTGACAATATCTGATTTGGTGCTTTATCACTGTATTTATAATTAATATTTTTATCACGAAAGATCAGATTTGTAATCTGTGTGTACGATCGTGTGTTTTCTACTTCCAGGGCATGGTGATGGTGAGTCCGGAGATGGATCCTACCATCTGCTGGATGTTTGAGGCTGAGATTGTGCTGCTCTTCCATGCCAAGACCTTCCACAAGGGCTTCCAGGTTACTGTGCACATCGGCAATGTGAGACAGACCGCAACTGTGGAAGCTGTGTGCGGCAAGGTTAGATCATCCAACTGTTGGAGTCTGAAAGATGTCCTCGACTTCAAAATTCAGATTATGTCCGACAATTCTGTTTCTTAATGCTGTTTTATTTGTTCCTCTTGTTTTGTAATTGCTTTACCACAGGAGGAGCTGAGGACAGGGGAAAAAGCAGTTGTCGTGTTCAAGTTCCTCAAGCACCCAGAATACCTGAAGGTGGGAGCTAAGCTGCTCTTCAGAGAGGGCGTGACCAAAGGCATCGGCCACGTCACCAAGCTGCAGCCCATCGCCCATTACCGGCCGTCCCAGAGCGAGGACGATGAGGCTTAAAGCTACTCTGAGAAAACAACAGAAAACACCGTCCCACCCAAAGACAAGGTGCTTTATAAACGACTTCCTGCTTTCTCCAAAGGCCACTCTGTCCTGTTCTCTGCACATTCATTACTGTCTCAGGAGACCACTGTTTTATCACCCCTTTCCAAAGCCTTGTTGTCACCCTCCGCCTCATTTGTCTCATTCAGCCTTACAGCTTATCTTAGTTTCTCTTGGCACTGATAAGAGGAAACCCCTCAGCCACCTCTGTCACATTGTGAAGGACACGTCCACAACATCTACCAACATGATGTTGAGTGTAAAGAACAGGAATGTGCTTTCACACATTTCACGTTGAAGTGCTGTTTACACAGTTTACACAGTTTACACCTTAATGCACTCCTAACACGTGCTTTTGAAAAGATCCTCACAAACTCGCACTGAAACATAAATGCCAGTTTCGATATACCTTTGGCAGATAATTGTTTACAAACAGTTGCAAGTATGAGATAGGCATTAATGTGTTACCTGTATCATCACCCCACATAGTGCCTGACTGATAAAGATGTTCTTACCTCTGTTTATTTATGTGGGATAATAGTTGATAAAAGACACAGTTTTTATATAAGCTAAACCATCTTGCTATAAGCTTTACTAGTGCTGACTAAAGGAAACGTAATGTAGGTAAAGGACCGCATTTGAGGTATGCGGAGTAAGAACCTGACTGATTTTGTGTCAGCCTGCCAAGATAATTCACATTGGCACTCACTTTGCAAGTGGTTTGTTATGTCATATGTTCAGATAGTTGTGTATTTTTTCTATCACGGATTATGCCTCACCTCACGATAGTGCAGTGGGACAGTCTCTTGCTGCCTGTCTTTAAGTGCTTTAGTTACTCAGGTCAGTTTAGATAAGGTATAAGACAGCATTCCACTCACAGAACGACTCCGAGGAGCTTTCTGTTGCTGGCTTGGTGAGAAGGAAGATAAATGATCGGGTGAGTTTTCCAAAGAGAATTTTATATTATGTAACGCTGCCTACTGATGTAGCTTTGTTTTAAAGCATTTAAAGGTACTTGACGTCGTCTCTTCACTTCAGTTACTGATTTCACTCACTTTGGGATGTTACACAGTGCCTAATGGAGCTACTGTTTGAGTAGTCTACCATTACACCCCAACGTTTTACAACTTAGTAAAACAATCTTATTAAGTTGGTGCTAGATTCCTCAAAACAGCTTTTGATGTGTAGAAGAAGACTTTGAAGATGAATGTTAGTTGCTACCCTTTGTTCGAGGCTGCTGTTGGCCTCATGTCTTTATTATAGCATGTTGTTTCGACTGTAGCATAACCTGCTGTCCCATTGACGTCCATGATAGAGGCGAAATGTGTGCCCTGTTTAGTTGCACACACTTTCTTGCTATGCTTAATTTGTGTGCACTCAGACAACTTATATGTATAGCCTTTATAAAGGGTATCAGGTGTTAGTTTGTTTATATGCAACTTGAATATTTTATAGATTTCTAGTAGTTCCAGATTTTACAATATATATTCACGTTTTTCACTGTTTTCACAGCCTTCCAAACACATCTTCACTTTTCTGAAACTAGTTTTAGAGCCCTCCCTTAAATCGAAATAAAGTGTACATTTTGATCATTATTTGGGTGAAATGCAATATTTATGTACAGATCCAGTTTGTGTTCATGATACATGAATAAAAGTTGTATTGTCTATTCCAGGTGCTTTTACCTTTGTTATGTTTTTAGTAAACAACTAAATTGCTCAGTGTTTTCAACCGTGTCATCATACACCCAGCATTTCATCTACTGGCCTGTGACAAAGTCATGACTCACGACATACAACTGAGTTTGAAAGGTTATTCCATTTAACACGCACTGCTCCTCCTAATGCGTTACACAGCTGATGCAAGACAAGGCAAGAGTCAATTCCTCATTCAGCTGTCTTTTAACACACTGAACAGGATTCCTTGTGGGAGGAAAGGGTAAACAAAACAGGATGACACATCATAATGGTGCAATTGGACCCATGCTACTGGCAGTCGTGTAATTCAAATATCTCAAACAAACATTTCCTGTATCCTTGAGCTTCACAAGAAAACTCAGTATTGACGTCCTTTGAGGATTCCTGCTCTATATGCAACTGATTAGTGGCCTCTGCTGGCACACCAGAATACTACAACACAAGGTGTACAACTACAGAAAACTTTAATAAGCATGTTTAAAAAAAGTATTGCCTTTCTTTATTTAGAATAAAAAAGCACATGTGACACAAAGTGCTGTCATTTATACTCGACAATATAAGGCACATCTTTAAACAGGTACTGTATCCTTTTACAAAATGGCATTCAGTTCTTTGGACTTTCTCTGTACATTTAAGTTTGTTTTTATTTACTTAAAAAATGCTGCTCTACAGCACATCCTTAGGTCTTCTTGAAAAAAGAATCCAGAGTACCCGCACTTCCACCTTGAGAGCGATGCCTTTTGGGTTGTGGTCCTGACAGGCCTCTGGTTTTTGTCTTGCCACGTGTGGACTGGGCTCTGTGAGGAGTCAAGGAGGCATTGGAGGAAGAGCTGGGTGCTGATGAAGAGAGGGACTTCTGGAGGTCCAGGGCGAAGTGATAGTCGTTGTGTTCAGGCATTTCCCAGACGGACACTTCCTGGCCACAGCGCTCACAGTTCATCAAGTCCTCTTTTGCCACGTTGAAAGGAGGAGGGTTGGCTTCTGGATCAAAGTCTGTTTCATCCCGTAACTCTTCACATGGTGACTGCTGAGAGGAGCTATGTTTTGCCTCAAGGTCTGACACAGCAGCAACAGTGTCTTCTGAGGCATTTTTATTGTGAGGTCCAGGCTTGTGTCCTGTTTCAGGCGTGTTAAAAGTTAAGGCTGAGTCCCTCTCAAGTCTCTTCTTGTGGAAGAAAGAGGACATTCCAGAATTGGAGCTGGCTGAATCATTTTTAAGGTGAGAAACCACAGAGGGAGCAGGAACATTGTTATCTGCCTCAAACTGACTATCTGCAGTTTTGATAGAGGAGGAAGATGGGAGAATCCCGGTGGAGTCTTTATCCTCGATCTCCTCGTCTTCATCTTTTGAAACCTTCAGTCTTTGTTTCTCAGCTGCCTTTTTGAAAAGGGAATGGATGGTGGAGGATTGTTTGTCTGAGGAGTCCGTTTTAAGTTCCGAGGGTGTCTGGGTTGAGAGCTGAGAGGTGGGGAAAAGACTCGAAGACACATCAGTGGAAAGAAAGCCTGCAATGCCCCCTGCTGATGGAGCGTTGCTAAATTTGCTAGCTGAGATGTGTAGCAGGGTGAGGGGTGGAGTCCTGGGGACATGATGCAAGGGAGAGCAGAATAAGTCACACAGCATTCCTTCAAACAATGACTTCAATTGTTTGACAGTGTTATTCATATATTTAATTACCATGCTGCCTGGTGGTTTCCAGCTGTGTTCAGACTTTTGATAATGGCTAAGCTGTCACCAGATATTTTGGTCGCTTCGTAGCGCACTAAAGCACAGCAGCGAGAGAAACTGCTTGCCCTCTTTTCCCCGAGCTGGCGTACACCAACCGTCAATAGTTTAGCGACCCGACCATTCTGTAAAATGGTCAGAAATGACAGGAACTGATGTGAAACCGTTATATTTACTGCATGCAATACTCAGGGGAAACCTCAGATTAGAAAACAGGTAGTGCTGCTGTAAAATGGGAAAGCAAAACATTTCACAACCACAAATAGCTCACCAATTCTCTGTCCTTGGTAAGCCTTTCCTCCAGCTCAAGGGCCAGCTGATGAAGCCAATACTGTACCTACACGGACGTTATGAATAATTACAATTAAAACAATTTGCAGAGGTTTGAATTATAAATGAAAGCGAAATGATAAAGATTGCATAATTGTTAAAAAAAAACATGAATACGTGTTTTGTCATCATCAGATGGGTCTACACAAGTTTCACCACTTCCAGTCCATATGCAACTGAAATAAAGACAACTTGAGTAATACTTCATTTACATTTACTTCCTGTATTAACAAAAAGGAAACAGTGATGGTCTGTACCTGCTCTTTTGTAGCCAGCGATGACTTCCCCTGGAAGTTTTTACTGCAACCAATGGACATAGGAAGATGTCTGGGTTTCACTGCTTCAAACTCAATCCCCCGACACATGTCAAAGAGCCAATGGCTGCAAAGCAGAGAGGTTCAATCGTAAATGTGCTTAGTAATGTGCATAGATGAAATGCAAACATTTGTCACTGTAAGGAAATATTTTCCCAGTACCAGTTTGTTATCTATAGGCATTGTGCAATGAACAGTGACAGGTATAGCAACACATTTAAGAAAAATATATAGTACAAATGTGTTTTCAGATGCTGATATATAATAACAGCAAAGACTAAGTAAGGTTTTTCTTAGCCAGTCATTGTTAAACACTTTTGACCTGAAGTCATTTCTGGCCTCTTACCCTGTCTTTTCTCCAAAGTGCTGTCCCAGTTGAGCCCGAGAGAAGCGGGTCAGCTCTCCCATGTTCTTTATTCCCAGAGTTTCTGAAATGGATGCACCCAGCTTACCCCCCAGGTTACGGCTGCACACATGTGAAATAGACGATACAAAAGCACGGTGGGTGTTTTGTTTTTAGACTTGTTACTTTTGAAATACGAGGGGAATTGTCAATGAGTATTCTTTTGAAGGAGTAGTACTTTGAACTCACATCTTGCCGATGGGTAGAGAGTTGAAAAGCTCTGTCACTGAGTCCAAAGGCAGAACCGTTTGTCGGTTGGGTTTGTTCAGACCACAAGCCAGTTTGGACAGTACCTGAAAGAAGTAGGTGGTTAACAATAACCATAGCAAAAACATTTTACTGCCCTTAAAATGATATTATATTTATAGAATAACATAACATGAGGGGTAACACAAACATTTTATTGATGGTCTGATATAATAAGGGCAAAAGCTAAGTAAGGCTTTTTTTTTCAGCAAGTCATTGTTTCATGCTTTTGACCTGAAGTCATTTCTGGCCTCTTACCCTGGGGTTTCCTACCTTATTATGGGATATCCCTGCTGAACAGCGGAAACCTGTGTCTTTCTCTATGGCTGCCCTCACTTCCTCGACAATGATCGCCCCAACAGTGAGCTGCAGGTCTGCAGGGATGTGTTGCCCTGACAGAGGAACGGGTAACGACGCCAGCCACTGCTGCAGACCCCTGGACCTCTGCTCCTCTGGGGACAAACATGACTTAAGGGGTTACATTCTACCATAGTTTTGTGAGGATTTGTTTGATGTCACTTTTCAAAGCAGTTAAAAGTTATGTAACTGATAAGTCAAAGTTTGGTTATAGCCTACCTTTGTCCAAGGCAGCATCCTCTACAGATTCTTCATGTTCAGGTACACTTTGTGGGTATCCCTGGATGTAGGTCGCCCTCAGTTGGTCAGACTCAACTTGTTTGTTGGTCATGTTTTTCAGCCGCTGCTGGACCACATCCGTCAGATCCATGTAGGCCTCATCAATGCTGGCTCTTTCGATCACAGCGAAGCGAGACATCACCTCAATCACCTGCACACTCGCCTCCCTGTAACTACACAGGGGTGAGTAGTAGATGATTTCAATGACAACTGGTCACACGAGTAAAGTTATTAACGGTTAGTATTCATCATATCAATTATTTAACGGTTTTATGGTAGAATCCCAGGAAATGTGAATAGGTGAACTTACGGTGTGAGGTCAGCCTTGCCACGAGACTCACGCACTCGAGCCACCTGCAGATCTGGGCTCAGTATCTTTGCATCGTCCACCCACATGTTCTTGGTGACACCTTGGGCCCTGGCCTCGTAGCTTACAGCTATGATACTAACAGAGGATAGTAATTAGTTGACAACAGCATGTTTACAAACCATGACAACTCATTTCTCAGTAAGTCCAATATATCGGAGAAGAAGGCGGATGAGACACAGTCATTTAAATGGTCCATGCAAAAGGCACATTATCATGCAGTCACAGCACAGCCTGATGAAAGATCAAGGATACTTATATGTTAAAGAATGACCTAAGCCTAGTTATGAGTTATTCCTTGTCCTGTCATTGATCTTGCTCTGCAGCTGCAAGTATTTGTTTTACTGTATTATGTATGCTCCTACAGTCATACCTTTCAACATAGGCAGGGTGCTTTGGAGTGGCTATGATCATAACAAGAGTATTTGTTCACCACTTTCTGATTTTGAAACATCAGATGCACAACAGTCCTGCTTTGAGAGACAGTCTGATCGCTTCTGTTTCAGTTGCATGGATCATCAAAACAATGTATGTGTCAGAAACTCACCCTCCTCCTTTCCATGTCTTGTACTGGGCCACAACACAGGAAGTGTTCTTCAGAGCTGGATTCAGCCTCTGTTCCACCTGCACGTAAAAGCAGTCCATGTCTACTAACGCCACCACGCGCTCCTTTCCGTACTCCATCACTGAAGAGATATGTTGATTCACGGCCCTCTTCGGTTTACTCCATGAATTAAACCGGCCAATGTTCATGTGTCGCTTTGTATTTACGCGCGGAAATGCAAAGGCTCATATTAACGTCATCAAAAGTCGACTAACACAACATCGGCCTCGGGCTTAACCTGTTATTTTTACTGTAAAAACGACCAAAAGTTATCGGTAAATATGTGTCATGTGAACATTTAATGTTAACGTTTGGCTGAAACGCCCCCAAAATACTTTTTTTTTACACAGTTTATGCCTTATTTTACTCAAAATGTAGTAGTTTGCTTAACCCCGCCCTCGAACAGCGTTCGTCCAATCAAAGCTGGCTACTTAAGGTACCTTCGATGGTTTGTCAAGCTTTGAATTTTTCAACATGCTGAAGATTTGAGTATATAAGACATACATATACACTGCATATATACAGTGGTGGAATAAGTACTCAGATTTAAGAGTAAAAGTAATAATACCGCAGAGTAGGAATACTCTGTTACAAGTTAATGTCCTGCATTCAAATGTTGCTTAGGTAAAAGTACACAAGTATTAGCATCACAACATACTTAAGTACCAAATCTAAAAGTACTCATTATCTAAAGTGATTGTTTTTGGAATAACATACATTGTATCATTGCTTTTGAACTATTGATGCATTCATGTGTCTATTATTTAAATGTTGCAGACGGTAAAGGATGACATAACCTTGATAACTTTTTTATACTGCCAGATATCTCCATCCATAATCGTACATCATAATGTATTTGTTGATGTACTGTTTGTATTAATAATATAAACAATCAAAATAAACTGGTTCCTATTTGACAAATAAGTTTAGTGAGTAAAAAGTCAGTACATTTACTTAGTTACATTCCAATAATAATGTATTTGAGAGGTACTATGGCTCTAATAAAAAGTATTCTAAAATGTGGTCGCTAGTAATTCAAAATTACAAACAAGTTATTACCAAATGTTTATTTAAAAAACAAAAACAATAGTAAAAATAAGTCTATATACTTCATGCTAAGTCGTTTTTCAGCATCATATTTAACTTGTCAAATATAAGTTTAACAGGACAGTGATAGATCTTGATGAATTTTTAACTAATGTTTTGCAAAGGATGCAAATTACATGTTAAAACTACTTCTAAACAGTGCTGAATATAGTCTCGCAAAACCAATAATACATTGTTTAAAAGCCATAAAAAGTATGACCAGTAGATTTAAAGCAGGACCAGAACAACCATGTTGAAAATGAGGAAGTGACAGTGTTAGAGCTACCTACACTAATATTGAAAGTGCTCAGTCTCTCACGGCATTGAAGCAGACATGACTTTTCTGTATGTTGCTCACCTGATACTCGCTGGGCTTATGGGTAAGTGATCTAAGCGTTTATAAGAACACTATATATAAATGATGGCCAGTTTTATAATTAAAACAATATTGTTGTTATGTATTGATAGAGTGGTACAATTTCAGTCTACATTAAACATTAATACAAGCCAGAAATATTAATGATTAATGTTGTGGCAAAGACATTTAACAGATCTGTTTTGTTGCTATGTTACTGACTAACCTAAAACTGATGCACTTATTGTATAAAAATGTCAGCTAAATGTAAAGTAATCATGTGATGATGCTGGTGATAAACAAAATGTATTTTAATGCACTATAAATTGAGTGTCTGTCTGCTGTTGTTTTGTAAGGAATATAAAGTTTAGTGAAATGTCTGTCACAATACGTTGGCTATTTTAAGGGAGAGAAATATTAGATATTCATTACAATTCTGTGTTTGTTCTTCTTGCAGGAATTCAAAGCATAGCTACGGTCAGTAAAGTGTCAGTGAAGGCTGGAGATTCCATCTCCATCCCATGCCTATACAACTTGAAATACAAAGATAATGTGAAATGCTTGTGTAAAGGAAAATGGTGGAGCACATGCGAATATGTAGCTCAAACAAACCAGCCAGATAATTCAAAACCGTTTTCAATCTCTGATGACCAAACCCAAGGTATCTTCACAGTCACTATTCATAATCCACAGGATGATGGTACAAGCTACTGGTGTGCTATCAAGAAAAATCTCTTTGATGTCAAACAACGTTTTGAGCTGTCAGTCACCACAGGTATAATCTATTTAATGTTTTAAACACAGTTAATATCCTTTTTGTGAACTACTTTGTGGGGGAAAAAACAATGTTGTTATTTGTTCAAGGTATGCCAAGTCTTCACGTGGACGAACAGGAAATCACAGCATTTGAAGGAGGAAGCGTGACTGTCAAGTTCCACGATGAAAATCCAAAAGTAACCAACTGGTGCAGGCTGGGCAGCAGCAGCAGCACCAAGTGTATGTCAGATCAGATTGGATCCATAGATGGAGCAACAGTCACCATCAACACAAGTGTCTCAAATGTGTTCACCGTGACTATGAGTGGACTGAAGACAGAGAACAGCGGCTGGTATTGGTGTGATAAAGAAGACTTACAGATGCCAGTGAACATAACTGTTACTGAGTTAACCTCAACTACTTCAACTACTCCAACTACTTCAACTACAATAAGCACCAGTACAGCAAGTAAGACACTAAACTTTTTCTATTTTAATAAATTAGATACCTAAACCTGGAAACAATGCTTGTTAATTTTACAGAATAGAATACATTAATTGAATGTACCTTGAAAATGTGTATTTACTTTAACATTTTACAGCAACACTTCAAACCGCTACCCAGAATGCCTCCCTGTTCACGAGTGCAGAGCCACCTACAGTACAGCCCTCCTTCTCCACCGTAATCGGGACAGGCGGAGAGAGCCTGCAAGATAAAAACAAGAGGTCAGTACTCACGATTACTTTTTAAAGCTTTCTTGGACTTGATCAGATTGTGTACATTTATACATAACCCTCTTTTCATCATCCATATTTTCTAATACAACACACCAGATATGCTGTGTACCTACTCAAAATACTAAATCACATATTTGTGCATGTTATTAATTATTTGCTTCTTTATGATTTGAGTCTTTAGCAGTAATGTTTTTCTTATATATATATATATTAAAGCACATTCTGTAGTCTGTTTTATACATTTAAATTAACAAATAGTGTCAATGCATAGACTGACATTATACATTTTGATAAACAAAGGTTAACCCTTTTATTCTTTTGGTAAATATAAATGTGATCTGCATTTCTCTTCTAGCTCCACTTTGGTATATATTCTCCCCCTCGTCTTACTGCTGTTGGTTGTTCCCACTGCCTTTTTTGGATGGAGAATGAAGAAAAAGCGTAGTAAGTTTGCTGTTAACTCTGCTTACCAATACAGGAATACAATATGTATTTTAATATAATCTCAAAAATAATGTGTTGTAGATAAGACCAAGACGGAAGTGCCTGTCATTACTGGGGTAAGATTTTTTATTTCCAACCATTTGTATAGTGATAAATCATTAATAATCTTACTCAGTAGTTTATTTCTTCTTCATTTTTATTTTCAATCTGCAGCTGCTCTGAACAGCTTAGTCACACAGTGTTATGAAGGGCAAAGAAGACCTTATGTGAAATACAATGTGAACTTTAAACCAAATATCCTATACTGTAGATAATTGCTCATCAGAAATGTAAAATAAAATCACATTTCCCCTTAAGGGATTACATTTAAAGAAAATACAAACAATAGATAACAATTATATAAATGAGCATACTGACATTTAAGCTTGGTTTGAAAGGGGTTACTGGCAGTCCTCTCAGAGACACATACAGTTATCAGTACACATCATGACACAGCCCTAGACTCCATAATGGCATACCGCTGACTTGGAAAGTGACCAAGCCATTTATATTCAAATGAACCAAAACATGTTGTGCGCTAACACAGGATATGCCAGAAACTGTAACCTAATGATGGAACCTAACATTTGAAATGTATCCCCCATAGGGCGCAGAAGTTGAGAGAGATCCTGATGTGCACTATGCTACTATTTTTCATAATCCAGATGCAGCATCGCAGCTGAAGGTAAACCAGATGGTCTTGTTTTATTTAAAGAAGCAATAAAGAGAGCGCTTCCTTAAAACTCATTTGCCTACGTATATATTTGTTTCTCATCCAGCAGAACAATATACCCGAAGAGACTGTCACTTACAGTACCATTGTATTGAACCCTAGTGTGTAACACATGGTATGGTATTACTTTCAACAGGCATCTCAATATGTCAAAAATAACTAAAATGGATTGTTATTGTTGTCATGATCAGTCCAATGGTTTTCAGCATTCTCTTCTCTGTGTTTGTTTTCTCTCATCAGACCAACCCAGCAATCCCGTATTAGAGATGTGTGGAATTCAGAGACTTTCATTTACAGATGATGTTTTGTGCAAACCTGTACACATACAAATAATGTGTTCCCCACATGCAAATGTTTCAAGTCAAGAGCAGCACTGTGGCAGTGTGTCTAGACTCTAAAAGTAAAAGTGTGATGTTCAACATTTGTCACTTTCGGTTTGACACATTGGGTAAGAGCAAACATTTCTATTGCGACCAAAAAAGCAGATCAGACATATTAAATAGACCAAAATCAGGAAGTGAATGAGTTAAAGGTTTAACTCTTGTTGCAGATTCTCCAAATATGAATTTACCATCTTGCCATTGAATAAAATCATGATCTAGAAAAGGATCTTTTTATAATTATCATCCCTAATCCTCCTTTACATTTTGGCTTTAAACAAGATACTTTACATATTGCTAATAGGGCTGCAACCAACACATTATTTGTCTTTCTGATTAATTTTGTCAGAAAATACTAAAATAGTATAAAATGTCCATCCCAAAAGTCTTTCCCAAAGTCCATGTTGTCGGTCTATAACCAAAAGATATTCAGTTAGATTTGATATGCAACAGAGAAAAGCAGGAAATCACTGTATTTCAGTGGCTAAAAATGATTTGAACAATTAACCAATATATGTTCCTTTCAATTTACTTTCATTGCAGCTCAAATGTTAACAACATCTGATTATATTATCCTTGTAATCAATAATCCAGTATGTACAACATAATAATCTCGTATTCAGTCGAGTAAGAAAACTATAGGATTAGCTTGGGGATGTGGTTTACTATTCCCAATGAGCTAAAATAATGTAAAAATATATATTTGTTTGGGAACCTTGTGAGAAATGTATGTTTTGACAATGTATGGGAAATGTAACGCTTCATTACTGTGCAAATAAAAACTGAACATGTAAAAATGATATCATAACTACATCTAGCCTTTATTATTGTCCTTTGCTCAGGTTTGATGTTCTCTAATATCCAAGGCAAAATTAAGCTGTAGCAATTTTTGCTTCATCATCCAACTAAGTTATCGTCACGGCCAGACAAGAGGAAGAGGAAGGACGTTTAATCTCTTGCATTTGCACGTTTAGGAAAATCAGGAAGTAGAAAAGGACTGAGCACATAATTTCATGTTGTTTCGTCTTACTTCACTTTCACTCACCAACATGGATGTCCTTCTCCGAGTTCTTCTCTCTCTCAGCACACTCGCAGGTCAGTCAGCTGTCATTTCATTTTGTGAGCTGGTTATATCAGATAACTATGGACTGAGTAATTAACCCAAAACTCTGTGAATATTTAATGAAATTGTACATTGTGTTGGCTATATGTGCAGTAAAATGCTGTATTTGCTCTTGTTGCAGGAATTCACAGCATAACTACAGTCAGTCAAGTGTCAGTGAGAGTTGGAGGTTCGATCACCATTCCATGTCTCTATGAGTCACAATACATAAACCATGTGAAATACTTGTGTAAAGGATCTACTTGGAACTTCTGCTCTGACGCGATTAAAACAAACCAACACAATACAGGGAAGTTTTCCATCTCTGATGACAAACAACGAAAAATCTTTACTGTGACTATAAATCATCTGACTAAAGAGGACACTGATTACTGGTGTGCTGTGGAGATTAATGGAGGAGGAGATGAAGGAACGTATTTTAAACTATCAGTCACCACAAGTAAGTGAACCCTTTGTGAAATATTAACAATTTGGAGGAAAAGCTGTTTGTTTCATTGATATGAGGCTACCCTATTTTTTGTTTCCCTTAAGAAACACCCAGTCTAGACAAAACTAATCAGGAGATTACAGGATCCACAGGGAGACCGATAGCCATCAATTGTCCCAACAGTAACTCTGGAGAAATGAAGTGGTGCAGGTTGGGCGGGTCCTGTTTGACAAAGTCTGGATCAATACATGAAACAGGATTCACCATCAGTGCAAGTGTCGCTGGTGTTTTTACTGTGACGATGAGTGAGCTGAAGACAGAGAGCAGCGGCTGGTATTTGTGTGTTAAAGGAGACTTACAGATGCCAGTGCACATAACTGCTAGTAAGTACAAGTGTCAAATTGAAATGTTGTAAGTGTCTCTATGTTTTGTTGAACTGCTATTTTACTCTACTTATTATTTTATTGGTTGGATATAGCTTTCAGCAACAAGCATTTTAACCATATCATCCAGTAGTGAGCATGTGAATCTCACCTTTGTTTTTTTTCAGATAATAATTCCAAAGATCTGGTCCTACCGCAAAGGTGAGAAGGCTTTGATATTGAGAATTTGCCATTCTAGGATTAAAATAACCAATTACTTTTCATTGTTTGCATTTGTTGATTTACTCCTGCTTCAGTGTGCCCGTGGATCTGAATGCCTACATCATCCCTTTGAGCTTGTTGATCTTCATTGTACTGGTGACCGTGTTCATCTGGTTTATGTTGAAAAGACACAGTAAGTATTTTCTGATCTTTGATTAATCCAAGTCATATCAAATATGTTTGTGCTTTTATTTTTGTAATATAGACTAGTGTGCATTGAGAGTAACAGAAGTGTTTCCTGTGTCATGTTTAGAGCAGACAAAAAAAGCGGCATCGGCCATGACAGCGGTAAGAACACCTTTTTTTTATTTCAAAATGTTTTCCAAAGAACGCAATAAGGAATTTTGTAATGTACGACTTTTGTAGTAAGTCGAAATTTAGGAGTAGTCAATTGTAGTTAAAATGCAATGTAAAGTCTTCAGAGAACATACTTTACCTTTGCACAAATTCAGTGGGCGGACCTTTTACAATTGCAGATACACAATTAATATGTTTATGAGATTAAATACAGAATATTATAACCATTTTAAAAGATCTAACTCAACAGTATCCTAATTAGGGTAATCATTCTTATCATGACTTTTATTTTTACTTTAATGTACCGAGATTTTAGTTAATTTGGTTGAAACTTGGTTACACAAAGTTGAAATTGCATTTCTGAACATTTCATGTGAAGTCTTTTTTCCCCCTCTCCTTTAACACAGGCCGAAGAGGAAATAACATACAGTACTGTTACGCACAAGAGAAACACTTCAAGCCAGGTAATCCATCACTGCAGAATATCAAGATGTTACATTTTCATATAATGTACTATCACTTTCTTTAACTGTACTGCATATTCTACAGGGCATACAGGTATTTCATATTCATAATCATGTTGAGCATCTCTATGATCCAACCAGTGCGTCAAGTAAAATACTAAAAGGCTCATTGATACACTTGGTACATCTATCTTACTTTACCATTCCCAACTAAAAACAAATAAAATAATTTGTGATTAATCAAAAACGTAAGTTGCACACTCCTATCTTTTATAACTGTGTCACCTTCCTCACACAGAGTTCACCTGCGGAGAGTGCGGTGGACGTGGTATATAGTTCTGTGATCCCCATGAAGCAGCAACATGTACCAATGGTAACTATTAAGAACATTTCACACTGACTGTCACTGTTTTTATTAATTTATTTAATTGTTAGTCTCACTGGATTTATGGCACTTTTCTAATTTAGAAAAACATCCTTTTCTGTTTTTCTTTCATTCTTTTTTTCAACAGGTTGAAGCGAATGATGAGAACGTCACATACAGCACATTGGCTTAGCTCCAGCACAGCTTAGCATATTCAACCACTGCTTGTCTATTTATCTTGTAAACTAGTCTGGTTATTGGTATTATTTGGAGATAACATTACTAAGAAGCATTTCCCTGTGTTTGACGAAACTGTTGTCAACATGTTAACAGTATTATTTGTTAGGCCTAATGCACACGTAAGTCGTCTTGACTCAAAGTGCATTTACAAACATTTGTAATTATATTTCATAACATGTAATCTCCTGTCCTTGTTTCAAATTTCAATGTGTAAATGTTTCTAACTGTACTATATTAATAATATTCATTATTATATTGTCATAATATTCAATATCATATTGTCTTGAAACACCAACCACTGCTTATGTGCTGCCATCAGACATCCTGATGGTATAAAACCACTGGAAATGTTAAAATAGCACAATACTGCTACCTAAAGTGTCAAATCAGTTCATATCTTGTAATGTTCAAAGCTTCCCTTTTATAGAGTTGCTTTTCAGTTTACAAGTCAGTTTGTATTGTAAGGTAAAATGAATAATGGCTGAATTAAATTGAGCTGCTTCAGTTTCAGAGTCCTGGTATTGTTCATGCTACCTCACTGTAACACAGGCATGGCCTTTTGGATACATGAAAATAACCTTTACTAATGTTACAATCTGCACTTTTCAAGTCAAAATACACGGACACTTTACAATGGGAGATAGAATAACTAAGTAATAATAATCATAATAATCACACAGACAACAGGTTGAAAAACAGGTTGCTGGGTACTGCATTTTAGCTGGGGCCGAAAATGGCTGCTTTGAAAAAAGACAGTTTCCAATTCATCCATTTTAATTCTCACAAACCGTTTCCAGGCTTTAGTTTGCAAGACATGTTGTGTCAGAGGAAATGGGTTTTACTCATCTTCTAATTGAAGAATATCTTCATCAATGGACACCATGTAGAGCATAATAATGCTTTACAGACACCTTATGTGAGGAACTCACTTAAAAAGAAGAACGATTGTAACAAAGTTGCATATAAAATAGAAGGAAAATAGAAATGCTTGTCGCTGCCTTGGGTCCTCTGTGTGTTGTCTGAATACTCACCGACATGGCTGTTCACCTCAGACTTCTTCTCATCCTCGCTGGACTCACCGGTCAGTAACTGGTCATTTTAAAAATGGTTGAGCCAATTCACATGTCAGTAGATGACACAAAAAGGCAGGCGTTTGTTGGGTTACAATGTTTTATTTCATACAAATACAATTTAGTATGTCAAAACTGAATGTGAATGCGTATATATCAGTTAAAAGGCTGTATGTATTCTTGTTGCAGGAATTCACACCATTACTCAATCAGTGAAGTGTCAGTGAAAGCCAGAGATTCCATCACTATCCCATGTCTCTATGACCTGCAACATAGAAATCAAGTTAAATATTGATGTAAAGGAGGACATTGGTTGTCTTGCTGTACTAAAGTCCGGACTGATTCACAACGTAGCTCAAGAAAGTTTTCAATCTCTGATGATAAAATCCTAAAAATCTTTACTGCGACCATAAATGATCTGAAAAATAAGGATATTGATTATTACTGGTGTGTTGTGGAGATTGATGGAGGGGCAGATGTTGGGGACACATTTCACCTGTCAGTCACAGGTAAGAGACCTTAAAGCATCTTTCAGCACATTTTAAATCCTTAATCCTGATATTTTACAATGAGATGGATAAAAGAGATTGCTTTTCTTTATTGTTAATCTCAACGCTTAAGTCCTTCGATCTTTATCCTCCTGAACAATCAGGATATTGAACGTGTGCATGAGCTCTCAAAGTCAATTATGGTAGAAAATCCCTAAGAAGGGTCGTAATTCAGCAACAACAATGTTTTATTAAAAGTAGTGAGATACAATCATAATACCTTGTTCTCTACCAGATGTAACTTCTGTAGATGCAACACATGTCAATCTACAAATCTATTGTATATAAAGTAATTAGGCTACCTATCAATCTATATTGAATGTGGCTGGTATTTGTGCGTTAAAGGAGATTTACAGATGCCGGTGCATGTCACAGTTACTGACAGACCCACTAGTAAGTATACAATGTATGCCAAGTACAGCCATTTGCAAATGTCGAACCCTAACCCTATCCTTAGAAGGATACGTATACTGCATATTACTTTACGAATCATTGTTCTGTCATGAATTATAGCCACACTTCCAACAACAAGACTTCCAACCACTCTCAATCACAGCCACCCAGACAAAGCTATTACCACAGTCAAGAATGAACAGTACGGGTCAGTCTTTGCATTTACATGCAGTATTCAAAAAGCAATGGCCATTTTATGGTCAAATTAAACTCATTGTAAGCACTCTTTGCCTTTTTAAATACATTATTTATATCTGAGACCAATATGTTGAAACTAAAACAGGGTATAATACTGTATTTCAAATAATTGGTGTTGTGTGCGCTTACATGTATTCCGTAGGGCTTCATTTGACATAGAGAGCCTCATCATCAGTCTGATTGTGGCATTGCTTATCTGGTTCATGTTGAAAAAACACAGTAAGTCAAAGTCTGAAGAACATCCTATTCTTGACAAATACTTTTCTATTTTTAAAATATATTTCCTTTGAGTATCGATTGAAGTGCACTGTTCATTTGTCATCATTCTGTTTCACTTTTAGAATGGAATAAAGCAGAATCATCAGATGCAACACCAGTAAGATATAAATATCATTCTCAATGAATGCATGGTATTTTTATCTTATGTATTTATTTCAAATGGCTCCTGTGGGTATTGTCTTATATAATAATGTAATGTAAAGCGCTAAATAAATACCATGAATTATTATGTATTAGGCTATAAAGATTTACAGCGTAGAGATAAAAGTGCATTAACGGTCATTTTTGCTTCAGTGATTTCAATATAATTGTAAAAGTAAACCAGTTCGTAACATTTTTAAAAGAAAATACTGTTCTCATTCATAACACTCCGTTCGATGTCTCACTATGGGATGCGCCTCATCGCGGAGCAAACAGAAGCATCAATCTCATTACGCCAATCCTGATTGGCTGGTGATCTTGACGTCAGCGTCAGGGAATTCAACCCCTATAAGTAGCTTGCGCCACGACGCATGCGTCATTCAAACACCTCTTCTCGCTTCAGAGCACATCTCTATAGTAGCCGGACAAGCTTAACGGTCCACAGACTGAACCCAAATATAACCATTTCGGTCGACGGGCGCTCGCCGGCTACTCCTTCTGCTTCGCAAGAAGACGGTAATACTAACACCAGTTAGTATTAAAATCGACCTCGCCGTTTCTTTCCCCGGAAAGTAAGGTAAGGTTTTGATTTTTCTCAAGCTAGCTACGCACCTGTTGCTAGCTAGCTTCCCCTTACTACCGACACCACGGTAGCGAGGACGCTTGTCAGGCCGGGACCCGGTGGCGGCAAGAGACGCGGGAACGGAGCCCCACGCCTCACCAGGCGGGAGCTCCCGGCGAGACCTCACCATGGTCTCGCCCGCAGAGGCTCGGCCTGCTCCGCATACCGCCGATGGAACTGCTGGTGGCAGCCCACCTCCTACCGAGGATGGGCCCGTCACCAAGCAGGAACCCCACGCTGCCAGCGAAGGTGGACCGTTTCCAGTCGACCATGACTGAACGGTCCTACAGAGCCGCAGCATTGTCCGCCAGGGCTCTGAACGTTTCCTCACTGCTAACCGCATACCAAGCGGAGCTCTGTGAGGATATGTTGAGTAATCCTGGACAGGCCGTTCTGGATGAGTTGGCCGCGGTCACAGACATTTGTCTCCGTGTCCAACGCTGCGCCGTCCAGGCCACGGGCAAAACAATGGGGATCATGGTGGTGCAGGAAAGAGCTAGATGGCTCAACCTCACCAACCTCCCAGACCGGGAAAAGGAGGATGTGCTTGACATGCCCATCGTTCCCGAGGGGATTTTCGGCTCCGCTCTTGCCTCCATGCAGAGGAGATGCGAGTCGAAAAAGAAGGAGGACGAGGCCCTCCACCTCTGCCTCCCTCGAAGGGCCCAGCCGCTGCCTTCGCAGCGGCAGCCCTTCGTCCAAGCTGCTCCGAACCCTGCTCGGTTCAAAATACCGAAAACACAGAGGTCGCAGTCCGCCCCGAGTCCCCAGCCCAGGCAGGGGACGAGGGCGAGCTGGCCTAGAAAATCTCCGGTTCCGGCTGCAGCCCAGGCGCAGCCAACCCAGAATTTCGGCCAGCAGTCGAGGAAGAAGAAGCGAGCGGCGTGACAGCCCCTCCTTCTCCCCTCTGTGACAGAGCTGGAAGTCTACGGTTCCCCAGCTCTAAATGTGTTCCCGCCGCCTCGAGAGATGCCTCAACACCATCCTCAAGTCCGCGTAAACACATGTCACACACTTATTGATTTTTCTGTCATAAAACATTTTCCGCTGACGCATCCAGGCTTCGAGCCAAGGGCGCAGCTCCAATTTTTTTTAAAGAAAAACAATAAAAACAATAAACAGTCCGTCAACTGTTCCCCTTCTGAGAGCAGCTACGGCCTCTCTCAAAGGGCGGACAATTGACGGGTCTGTGAAGGCACCACCGTCACGTGCATGCGCAGTGCCGGCTGGGGCTGTAAAGGCACCACCGTCACGCGCATGCGCAGTGCTGGCTGGGGTCGTGAAGGCACCACCGTCACGCACATGCGCTGTGCCGGCTGGAGCTGTAAAGGCACCACCGTCACGCGCATGCGCAGTGCCGGCTGGGGCTGTAAAGGCACCACCGTCACGCACATGCGCAGTGCCGGCTGGAGCCGATATAAGTTCAGAATGCTCACTCACACATCTCTGCTGCGGCTCGTGCGACAAGACGACTGGTTTACATCAGTCGACCTGAAAGATGCGTATTTTCACATCCCAGTATATTACCCACACAGGAAATATCTGAGATTCGCATTTCAGGGGATCTGTTATGAATACAGAGTACTCCCCTTCGGTCTGTCTCTCAGTCCAAGGGTGTTTGTACGATGTACGGAAGCCGCGATAGCCCCGTTAAGACAACAGGGTATTCGCCTGGCGATCTACCTGGACGACTGGCTGCTTCTCGCACAGTCGGAGCAGGAGGCTGTTACGCAGACAAATGTCCTCGTAAAGCACCTGCTCAACCTGGGTTTCATAATAAACACAGAGAAGAGCATGTTGTGCCCCGCGCAGAATATACTCTTCCTGGGTTTACGCCTGAACTCGGTGCCCTTTTCAGCTCGCTTGTCAGCGGAAAGAGTGAAAGCTTTCAGAGCTTGTCTCGCTCTTTTCCAGCTGCGCAAACATGTTCTCTTCAGATCATGCCTGCGATTGCTGGGGCTCATGGCGTCAGCCATCCTGGTCGTACGACTGGGACGCTTACACATGAGGGAGTTTCAGCGCTGGGTGGCCGCCCTAAAACTAAACCCCGCGCAATGGCGCGCGGAGAGTTATGGTTACTGTGAAAGGCGTAATGGCACTGCGCCACTGGCTGCACCCGACTTTTCTAGTACGAGGTGTGCCTATGGGTGCTGTCCTTTCACGGAAAGTGGTCACCACGGACGCATGTCTGACAGGTTTGGGAGGTATTTATGAAGGTTGCCCGGTGAGGGGTCTCTGGAGCAGAGACCTCCAGCGGGCGCACATAAATTACCTGGAGCTTTTAGCGGTGTTTCTCACCCTAAAACGCTTTCTGCCTTTCCTCAGGGGACATCACGTCCTCGTGAGGACAGACAATACGACCACAATATCGTATATTAACCGCCAAGGGGGTTTGCGTTCTCTCCAGTTACACACACTGGCGCGCAAACTGATCCTATGGAGCGGTAGACGTCTCCTCTCTCTGAGAGCGACGCACGTACCGGGAGTGAGGAACCTCGGGGCAGATCTACTGTCCAGAGGTATACCACTTTATGCAGACTGGACTCTACATCCAAGGATTGTGAGCCAGCTGTGGGTGCGTTACGGCAGAGCCGCGGTGGATCTGTTCGAATCGAAAGACAACGCTCAGTGTCAGCTGTTCTTTTCGATGCGCGATCTAAATGCACCGTTAGGCGTGGATGCACTCGCGCACGATTGGCCCCCGGGCCTTCTGTACGCGTTCCCACCCCTGGCTCTGATACCCCCAACTCTGGCCAGAGTGAGAGAGCAACGCCACACACTTATCCTGATAGCTCCGCACTGGCCAGCTATGTACTGGCTAGCGGAGATATATCAGCTGCTGTGCGGGCAGCCATGGCAGCTCCCACTACGCAGGGACATACTGTCCCAAGCGGGGGGGGCGATCTTTCACCCACACCCAGAGCGCTTGGCTCTATGGGCCTGGCCCGTGAGTGGTACAATCTGAATACAGTGTGACATGAAGCTGACCCTGGCAGCTGCCAAGCGAGCCAGTGGCACTCATGCACTATCTGTACAGTCTTCATGCACTCAGTTCGCCCCAGGGCAAACAGAGTGTGGTTGAAGCCCAACCCTACCTTTATCTTAAGGCGGTTGGTTCAGGTACCACATTTGACATTGAGGCATCCTCCCCGCCACTGTATTCCTCCGGGGAACAGCGGCCGGATTTGCCGTGTCCAGCCCGTGCTTTATGCACGTACAGTAGGGATGTGCATCTCCATCACTGAGGCCGATGCGATGCGCATCTCGATACGTTGCCACGATACGATACATTAACGATACATTTGAAACACCAGGCGATGCGATACGATACGATTTACCCCTGTTGCGATACAGTTCGATACGATTTGATTCAACATTATGCGATTCGGTGCGATACGATGCGATTCAACACGATGCAAAAATAATGATACTTCAATTTGGTACGACAGAGGATTTTTGTTTTATTCCTTATATGCAGCAAATCATACATTAACAAAAAAGTGCTTTACATATTTGGTACTGCACATCCCATCATGCCGTTTATTTTTTTACCTTTAAAAGCTCTCCAGAGTACAATTGTATAACACCTCACAGTTAAACAATGTAAGGATGCATTGCTCATGATTAACAATGTGCAAATAACAGCTACCATAGAGCAATGCCCATACAGCTGCCAGCCTGATGTGCTTAACACTCATTCATAGGCTAACTCACCAGTGAGCAGAAAGCGGTGGGTTCTATATGAACAATAAATAATACAAATAACCTTTCACAAACAGGTATTTCATAACTGCTTACAGTGAGGAATACATTTAAATTATTATTGGCCGTCACAGGCTGCTGTAAACTAAACACCACTCTCTCTGACAGAACACCTCACTGAGTGATTTAATAATAATAATAATAATAATAATAATAGCTTCTATTTCTATAGCGCCTCATATGTCTAACTTTGAGGTTTCTCTTTTCAGCCGCAGACCCCATGTCGACTCTTTATGTGCGTCGCTAAGTTCCTCGTACTACTTGTGTACTTTAAATCGGCTCGGCATCGTTAACAATTTGCGAGCGATTTTTCAAGTTGACCGTCTGTGCCGCGCACATATACCATCAGGACGTTACTGATGGGGTGCGGCTGCGGAGTGATACTGTGTATGCAAGCCCGCATCTAGGACGGATCTATGTATCATGGCTGTAGACCTGTTAAGTAATAAAGATACCTCATACAAAAGTCTACGGATACCTTATTACTCTCCATGACCTGCGGTCAACTATATAGCCTAGCATAAAGGACTATTACACCGTCTTTCTTGAACAATCCGAAGTGTTACCAAACGTTTGATTTGTAGGTATTTTTCGGTGCGCTGTGTTTCTCTTTCTCCTCGACTTCCGTGTGTGTTGATAACTGAGACTCTCGGCCTCCGTAGTGGCGAAGCAAATATCAAAGATCGTCTCTGCTGAGCGTTGACAAGATTAGGGGATTTTATATGAATGAATCGGTTTTTTACCGATGCAAAGACGCTACGCAATCGATGCATCGCGAGTTCAACCCGGTTCAACCCAAACTGTAGCCTATGTGCACTCTTTCAACCGGTGCACTCGCATCTTGAACGTGTATGCCGGTGCACCGATGCGTATCGGTGAATCTTAACATCTCTAATGTACAGGGACAGATCAAGGGTGCTTCGTCATAATGACCAACCCCTTGTGTCCTGGGTTAACCCTTATAAGGGCAAGCCTGTTACTAAGCAACGGCTCTCCCACTGGTTTGTGGAAGCAATTGCTTTGGGGCTCATACGAGTCAGAGTTCACAGGCACCCTCGGGTCCGCGAGCTCTTTCAACTCAGGGTCTGGCTGCATCCTGGGCTCTGTCCAGGATGTCTCCCATCCAAGACATTGGTGCAGCGGCGAGCTGGTCCTCGCCGCTCACTTTTGTCCGCCTCTTAACAGGCTGGACGTTCTGCTCCCAGTGTGACTCAAGCAGTGCTGGGCACCTGGTTGAGTCAGAGCTCTACCTGTTTAGTTCTGGTTGGTTTGGTGATTTTCGAGATAAGCTCGTCTGACAATACGGGAGCTACAATTTCCCATAGTGAGACATCGAACGCAGTGTTATGAATGAGAACTATAGGTTACTTACGTAACCCCAGTTCTCAGAGTAACAAGAAGTGAGATGTCTCACCAGACGGCCCTCCTTGCTATGGTGAAGCGAGAAGAGGTGCTTATATTGAATGACGCATGCGTCGTGGCGCAAGCTACTTATAGGGGGTGAATTCCCTGACGCTGACGTCAAGATCACCAGCCAATCAGGATTGGCGTAATGAGATTGATGCTTCTGTTTGCTCCGCGATGAGGCGCATCCCATAGTGAGACATCTCACTTCATGTTACTCTGAGAACTGGGGTTACGTAAGTAACCTATAGTTACTTTTGAGTGCACTGCAACTGCATGTTGTAGCAGATTCTAATTTAATAAACTGGAGATATGTTTTATTTTATGCTTTTTGAAACTGTATAGAGCAGGATTTGAGAACGTCCTTTTCTCCTCCAACACAGGCTGAGGAGGAAATCATCTACTGCAATGTTAGGCCCAAGAGAAAGTCTTCAAGCCAGGTAATATCTCACACAATGCAGTACATTTCCAGAAGAGTCTTTGAGAGTATAGGTTTTGAAAGACACTTCCTTCTTCAAAACAGGCTGAAGAGGACGTAACATATTTGTAATGTTGGAATCGTGACGAAAACATCAAGCCAGGTAACACCAACACTAAACATTATGCCATTACAATAATTTCATTTTAATAGTGTAAAAAGAGGGTGCCATGTCGTTTTGTTGTGATTTGTTTGGCCCTTAAACCATGACAAGTGCAGATTAAAAAAAGAATAGTTGATGGAAAGTGTTTTATTTATTGTTTAATAGCTGTCCCCTATCCAGAGGTCATATGCTAGTGATGTGGACGTGACGTACAGCTCCGTGATTCCCATAAAGCAACAGAATGTAAACACTTTCTTCCCTTTTTATATATATAAAAAAACGTTTCTCACTTCTCTTTTAGTCATTTCCATCCATTTTGTTCGAACATTTCAAAATGGTTATTTGTCAAATTTTAACACTTTCAACTTGTCTGGTTGACTGTTCTGAATTTCTAATCGTAATGTTGCTTCTGTTCTCCAGGTTGAAGCAGAAGATAATGATGTTACGTACAGCACGTTGGCTCAGCACTAACAGAAAATGAAAATGTTTGTCCGTCTGTTCATCTTTTTATCTCTCTGCGAGCAGACAGCTATTCTTACTAGACGAGAGTGTTACACGTCATCGTCTGCTTTTATCATTTGGTTGTGCAGAAACTTCTTCTCCTTTGCATCACTAGTTGTCTCACCTTTCTTTAACCCTCCCTTTCATACACAAACATTGACAACTATGCAGATATTTTACTATATTTGTATTCATGCGTTAATCTCAGAACATTTAGTTATATTTAGCTTTTCGAGAAACCACCTGTTAGAATCTAACTCAATACAGCTAAATGAATCGTCTCTTATGTCACATGTCATTTCTACGGAGGAATCTGTGGTTTTCTAGCCTTGTGGTTGCTCAGGGTTCATTTTTTACTCAGTCAGACATCCACTTTCTTGCACCACAAGGCTATAAAACCACAGATATGTAAAGTATAAAAAGGTTGAATATGTAAGTGCTCTGGTGAGCTTGCTGTTTTGTATACTTATAACTCTAAAAGGACCAAGGTGCATATCATTTCTTAGGATTTTTCAACAGCTTTTACCAATTAGTTTTTTACATACTGTGTGTTTCTGTCCTTCACTTTGGATAGAAGGAAACAATAAGCATACTTATTTGTTCATGATATTTCTGATACTCAACTCAGTTACGTTAAACAAATGCAAATCGTATTAATCATTTGATGTTGTTACTAACATGCTTTAAATAAATCCAACTGGAGTGCTGATTTGTTGTATTCATGACGCTACACTGAGGCTATTATTGCTTTAGATATTGTTTAACTGCATATATATAACAATTAACCAATCACAGCCAACGTCTTCACTGTAGGAGGTACCCAGATTTGAACGTTTTCATATTTAGAAAATAAGGAAGTAGACCATCATCATTTTTCTTTTTTAGCTCACACACGGACATGGCTGTTCACCTCAGCTTCCTTCTCATTTTGACTGGACTTACAGGTCAGTGACAGAAAGCATTTTAAATGTGTGAAAATTGCATCATATCCTTTTAACGGTCAGAAGATGATGATTAAGAAAAATGTCAATTAAACTAACATTCTCCACTTTTGTCTTTCATTTATAATTACGACAAACGTGACCTAATATTTAAAACTGCTATTATCTAAAATATGCAGAGAAAACATTTAAAATCATTTGCTCTTGTTGCAGGAAGTCACGGCATAACTACCGTCAGTAAAGTGTCAGTGAGAGCTGGAGGTTCGATCACTGTCCCATGTCTCTACGAGTCACAATACATAAACCATGTGAAATACTTGTGTAAAGGATCTATTTGGAACTTCTGCTCTGACGCGATTAAAACAAACCAACACAATACAGGGAAGTTTTCCATCTCTGATGACAAACAACGAAAAATCTTCACTGTGACTATAAATGACCTGACTGATAAGGACACTGAATATTACTGGTGTGCTGTGGAGATTAAAGATGGAACAGATCTCAAAGAGTATTTCCACCTGTCAGTCACTGGAGGTAAGAGCCCAATTACGCCTTTTCAAATCTTTTGTGAAATATCAACACTTTAATATTACAATGACCTCATTTTTTCAAATAACGTATCCACCAGATGTAAATATATGCCAAACATATTTGAAACATCAGCAGCATGTACTAACCACGCTGCTCACAAGTTTCAATGAATGATGTTCTCCATCAAGGTTCACCCAGTCTCTACGTGGCTCAGCAAGAGATTACAGGATTTAAAGGAGATAACATAAACATCAAGTATCACTGTCAAAACTCTGGAGAAAGGAAGTGGTGCAGGCTCGGCGGCTCCTGTGTGACACGGTCTGGATCAATAGATGGAGCAAGAGTCGAGATCAGTGCAAGCAACTCTGGTGTTCTCACTGTGACTCTGAGCGGACTGAGGACAGAGAGCAGCGGCTGGTATTGGTGCGTTAAAGGAGACTTACAGATGCCAGTGCACATAACTGTTACTGAGAAACCTAGAACTAGTAAGTACTAAAAGTGATTATAAAATTGTAAATATTTGTCAAGTAAATTAATGTTAGAATGTTTAATTCAATCTAGATTAAATATTAGCATTTATTATTGTGTTTTTGCTCCAGTAGTTATATCCACATATAATTATATTTACAGTTGCGGCAACAAGCCAAATAACCACCTTGACACCCACCTCCAAACCTGTGAATCACACCTCTAGTACTGCAGAACAAAGACTTTCCACTGTTGAGGTTGAGCAGCAAAGGTGAGAAGCCTATACATTTTCATGCAACGACATTTTTGGACTGTTGGCAAACTGTCATTTGCATTGTGTTTTCTTTGATTTATTTATATCTGCTGCAGTGTTTCAGTAAACTTGATAGTCTTTATCATCCCGTTGGGCTCGCTGATCTTCATTGTAACGGTTGCCTCGTTCATCTGCTTAATGTTCAAAAGACACAGTAAGTATATGCCGAAATTACAATTGTTTGTAAAACATCAATATATTAACGATCATGCAGACTATTTGTGTGTTATTGTCAGTAAAAATTGTTTATAATTGATTCACTTTTAGAGCAGACCACAGGAGATTCACCGGCCACAATAATGGTGAGATATGATCATTCATTTCCCAATACATTGTTTTACAAGGAGATGTGTTATCATAGCCATTTTTCTAATATTAACTGCAGTAATTCCAAATAATATGAAACTTTACTTTACTTTCAATTTGCAGCTGCAGGAGTTCAATATATACATTAAAGAGTGTTTTTCTTAACAAGACAATAGGTCAGAAACACAGAAATAGGTTAAATAAATAAACCAATTAAAGCTTTTGGTTCATATTCACCGTTCATGTTCTGTTCTCTGCTCCTTCAGGGTAAAGAGGAAGTAACATACAGTACTGTTAAGCAAAGGAGAAAGACTTCAGGCCAGGTAAGACACTGTGTGGAAATTACTGCCGATAAATATTTTTATTTTTATTTCAAAACAAGACCATCCACAGAATTAACACAGTATATGTGTTTTTATTATACAATTAGGTTGTATTACACTCTTATGGTGATTCCATTGATCCTCTGTTTGCCCTAAAAAGGGAGAATAGTTGTGAAATGTTTCCTGATTTCTAAAAAAATGTGTTCATGTTGATGGTTTGCAGCTTCATCGCGCTGAAGAGGAAGTAACATACAGCGATGTTAAACAAAGAAAACCTACAGACAAGGTGACCCTTGACCCCAAAAGGCCCAACTTGTGTTCCATCATAACTTGTATTCCATCGTCATTTAACTATAAAAAGTTAAATGTTTCAAGTGATCTCATCATGGCAGCCTCTTCTTCCTTCCACAGTGGACGGATGCTAATAGAGATGTGGATGAGATGTACTCTGATGTGATGTACTCATCTGTGGTTACTATAGACTAGAGCATCAAACTGGACAAAAGGTACATTTTAAGGGATTCAAACCCAGACCTTAACTTTTTCTAACATACTTACCGCTTTTTCCCCACATTTCACCGTGAAAGCTAATAGCCCTCAATCTCAGAGCCTCAGTCTCTGTGATAGTGCTATTTGGCAACTTTTTAGCATGTTAGCAGGTAAACATTCCTGATAATAATTTGTAATTTAGCTTTCTCATTGTGCACATTGTTAGGATTTAGCTCAGAGCTCCATGTAAAACCTGACAGAGCTGTTAGTAAGGCATAAGTTGATCGTAGCTTCGATGTTTCCTCCCTCATGCTATTTTCTTCTTCACTTGGGCAACAGATTCAAGCGGAAGAACATGATGTAATATACAGCAGGTTGGCTTAGCACCAGAAAAACCTGTGAATGTTACCCCTACCCTACATCTATACCCATCACTGGAGTCTTTTTTTAGACAATTTGCAACTTGCTGTCATTTGTTTTTTCTTTCTTTTTGAAGGTATTCTTTTCCACACTGCTGCAAAACATTTCAAACAAGTACTGACACGGGCGTAGTTTCCCATAAGCATCTTAAAGTCAACAAGCTAACAAAACCCATCTTATGAACCTTCTTAAGCTCAATATGGGGTTTCCCAAATGCATTGACAAAAGTTTAAAAATCTTAAAAATGACCAAAAGTCAGAAGTTGAAGGAAGAACCAAAACATTTTATATCTAAATATATACTTTTATCGTGATGTTTGTTGTCTGATTTTTTTATGTAAAATGAATAATTCTATGTAAATTGCAAAAAAGTAATAACAACTGTTCAAACACAATAAATCACTAATGGATCGGCCTGTTTCTGTTGTCAGAAACAGGCCATACTGTAAGGTGCGTGCTTTACACACACTTAAAAAAAAAAGTTTGCATTTATTTCCAATGCATTGTTTTAAGAAATGAACATGTTTCAGTCCTTAATCCTAAAGTGCTGGTCTTCTGTTAAAAATATGTGTATCCACCGGACCTTACCCTAAATTATACAGTAAAGTATATCGTAACTCAGCACAAATCAAATTGTATTGTAGCTAAGGACCGACAAAACATTTAAATCTGTTAATCTCGTTATCTCTCTGTTAGCAGACAGCTTTTTTTGGTCGTGCTGTAACTTCTTTCTTCTCCTTTTTCATCTGCAGTCATCTCGTCTTTTTTTTAACCCTGTGCTGCATACATAAACAACAACATTGATAACTTTTATGTTTTTCAACTGTATTACTTACATGTTATTCTCACTTTAATTAATTAGTTCTTAATTCCATCTTTAAGATGATCAGAAACTCATATTTAACCTTAATTAGTTTGATATGCTAACACTTGTTATACTTTAAAATGTCATATATAAATATATGACATGTTCTGGAAGGACAATAAATGATGACAGTTGACTTTACTGTACAGTACAATCACTTTTATTTAGCTTTTCGAGGAACACAATTGTATAATGTAACTGAAAACAGCCAAATGTATCGGTCTCATCTGTGGTTACTCAAACAGGGTTTGTGTTACTCCATCAGACATCCTCTTTGTTAAACCATAAGGCTATACAACCACAGATATGTAAAGAGTAAACAGGGTGATTGTGTGAAGTTGTTTAAGGGAACTGGTTAGCTTGGTGTCACACATATATAACTTGAAAAGGACTTGTACTTTATCTGTTTTTCAGGCTTACTGCCCATAAAAAGTACCCATAATAAATATTGTTTGTCTCTGTATCTTTGGAAATTCCTATTATCTATGTCTGATTTCAATTGTTAAAATGACAGGTACATGATATTTCCGACTCACATGGGTTAAACAAATGTTTTTAATGTTTTTAATCATTTCATGTTATTACTGTCATGCTTTAAATAAATTAACACAATTCAGTCCATAAACCTGAAGTGCTGTTTTTTTCTTTTGAAATGTTGTGTTCATGTTTTCTACATCGAAGCTATTATGTAAGAGTATAGGGTACTCTCCAACTGCACTAATAATTATATATATATATATATATATATATATATATATTACACAATTAACCAATGAAACGCAACTTCCTTATAGGAGGGACCCATATTTGAAGTTGTGCATTTTATATTTAGGAAAAAAGGAAGTAGAGCATCAGTTCGTACATGTTGTTTGGTCCGCTCACACTCTGACATGGCTGTTCATCTCGGCTTCCTTCTCATTTTGATCGGACTCACAGGTCAGTGACAGAATAATTGTATCATTGTGAATATTTGTATTGTATGCTTCACATGGTAATGTCAGAAGGTAACATGGATAATTATTATTGAATATGGCTTTTAAAATGTGGGGTTTGCTCTTGTTGCAGGAATTCAAAGCATAACTACAGTCAGTAAAGTGTCAGTGAGATCTGGAGGTTCGATCACTATCCCATGTCTGTATGAGTCAGAGTACACACACCATGTGAAATACTTGTGTAAAGGATATAGTTGGTCCTCTTGCTCATATGAGGTTAAAACAAACAAACCAAGCAGTTCAGGAAAGTTTTCGATCTCTGATGACAAAAAACAAAGAGTCTTCACTGTGACTATAAATGACCTGACTGATAAGGACACTGAATATTACTGGTGTGCTGTGGAGATTAAAGATGGAGCAGATCTCAAAGAGTATTTCCACCTGTCAGTCACTGGAGGTAAGAGCCCAATTACGCCTTTTCAAATCTTTTGTGAAATATCAACACTTTAATATTACAATGACCTCATTTTCTCAAATAACGTATCCACCAGATGTAAATATATGCCAAACATATTTGAAACATCAGCAGCATGTACTAACCACGCTGCTCACAAGTTTCAATGAATGATGTTCTCTATCAAGGTTCACCCAGTCTCTACGTGGCTCAGCAAGAGATTACAGGATTTAAAGGAGATAACATAAACATCAAGTATCACTGTCAAAACTCTGGAGAAAGGAAGTGGTGCAGGCTCGGCGGCTCCTGTGTGACACGGTCTGGATCAATAGATGGAGCAAGAGTCGAGATCAGTGCAAGCAACTCTGGTGTTCTCACTGTGACTCTGAGCGGACTGAGGACAGAGAGCAGCGGCTGGTATTGGTGCGTTAAAGGAGACTTACAGATGCCAGTGCACATAACTGTTACTGAGAAACCTACAACTAGTAAGTGTTATAAGTCATTCTAAATAAAAAAATATAACATTTTTAATATTTGTCAGGTAAACACATTTCTTATTTATTTAATAAAATGAAATCTTAGCAATTATGAATGTCATGTTACTCTAATAGCTATATCCACATGTCATTACATTCACCTTTGCAGCAAAAAGTCCTTCCACCCCTGAGCCTGTGAAGCAAACCACTAGTTCTGCAGACCAAACACTTTCCACTGTTGATGGCGAACAGCAAAGGTGAGAGACCTTCTCATAATCATGCACATTTGACTGTTTATACAAGTCTGTCATTTGCATTGTGTGTTTTTATTTATTCCTGGCCGCAGTTTTTCAGGGAACTTAAAGAGCTTTATCATCCCTTTGAGTTTGCTGATCTTCATTGTTATGGTGGCCATGTGTATTTGGTTTATGTTCAAAAATCACAGTAAGTCTATGCCGAATTATGCTCAATCCAAATAATATCATTTATTATTGTGCGTTAATCATAAATATATTTAGTATTAATGCAGATAACTGTGCATTATTGCCACTAACAATACTTTTTGATTGCTTGACTTTTAGGACAGACCAAAGAAGAATCCCCAGCCACAATAATTGTAAGACATAATCATTAATTTACAAGAAAGGAAATTAATTAATTTCACACTGCAGTAATTCCAGATAGAATATGACTTTACTGTACTGTCCCTTTGAAGCTACAATGAATCACTGTTTAAAGCACATTCATACTTATTACATATGATGTATATTGTTATAATTACTAATACCCTTAATCTTATTCTTATTCATACTATTTTTTTCTTTGCAAAAGGACAATTGAACATTAGGCTTTTGGTTCATATTTGCCGTTCAAATTCTGTCCTTTGCTCTTTTAACACAGTCTAATGCGGATGTAACATACAGTACTGTCAAGAAAAAGAGAAAGACAGGTCAGGTAAGACACTGTGTAAAACGATTGGCACAGAACATTACAAATTTGAATAAAAAATCTATTTAGAATTAGGTTTTGGGTAAACTCTTATGGTGATTCAAATGATCAGCTGTTTACCCTAAAAGGAAGAATTGTTCATGTTCATGTTGATGGTTTGCAGCTTGGTCTCGCTGAAGAGGAAGTAACATACAGCGATGTTAAACACATGAGAAGAGCTTCAGAAAAGGTAACCCTTAACCAATAAAACACAACTTACATTTCACAACAGGATTACAGAATTAGAAAGATAAGTTCTCTCAGGCAGCATTTATTATTTCATCATAAACATTTGTTTTTATGAAGCAAAATCAAAAGTTAAATTGTTAAATTGATCTGATTGTGTCCATCTCTTCGTTGTTCCACAGTGGTCAGAAGCTAATAGAGATGTGGACGTGATGTACTCCTCTGTGGTCGCTGAAGAACGTCAAACTAAACAAAAGGGTACATTTTCATTTGAATGTTGTATTCTATGGTAATAGTTAAGCTTTTTTACCCCACATTTTGAAGGCAAAATAGAAGCATGTCTATATATGGGTGGCCATTGTTGTTTGTTCTGTTGGATGGATCATTAAACAATTGAACACTAGGCTTTTGGTTCATATTTGCCATTCAAATTCTGTCCTTTGCTCTTTTAACACAGTCTAATGCGGATGTAACATACAGTACTGTCAATAAAAAGAGAAAGACTTCAGGTCAGGTAAGACACTGTGTAAAAACGATTGGCACAGAACATTATACATTTGAATACAAAAAACTATTTAGAGGTAGGTTTTGGTTAAACTCTTATGGTGATTGAAATGATCATCTGTTTGCCCTAAAAAGGAAGAATTGTTCATGTTCATGTTGATGGTTTGCAGCTTGGTCTCGCTGAAGAGGAAGTAACATACAGCGATGTTAAACACATGAGAAGAGCTTCAGAAAAGGTAACCCTTAAGCAATAAAACCACAACTTTTATTTCACAACAGGATTACAGAATTAGAAAGATAAGTTCTCTCAGGCAGCATTTATTATTTCATCATAAAATATTGTTTTTATGAAGCAAAATCAAAAGTTAAATTGATTGATCTGATTGTGTCCGTCTCTTCGTTCTTCCACAGTGGTCAGAAGCTAATAGAGATGTGGACGTGATGTACTCCTCTGTGGTCGCTGTAGAACGTCAAACTAAACAAAGGGTACATTTTCATTTAGATGTTGTATTCTATGGTAATAGTGAAGCTGTTACCCCACATTTTGAAGGCAAAATAGAAGCGTGTCTATATATTGATACCGATTTCTGTCTGTTCTGTTGGATGGATCATTAAACTATTTGGTACAGATGGTCCTGGTGTCCAAATAATGTATCCTTATGAATTTGGTGATCCCTTACATTTTCATATAGCGCCATAATCAGGTCAGAAATGTAGTTTGTTGATAATGACCAAATACTATGAAAGCTAATTTCCCCCATCCTCGGTTATCCTTTTGGATTTGTGTTAGCAAATGTTGGCATTGATACTGGCTAAACTAAGATTATGAACATGGTAAACAGTCCTGCTAAACATTAGTACTTCAGCCTTTGTTGACATTGTTAGGACAATGTTACGTTAGCATTTAGCTCAAAGCATTGTGTCCAGCCTGTTAGAGCTGTTAGGCAAAAGTACGTTTTTTCTTTGATCTTTCCTCCCTAATGTCGTTTTTTCTTCACTTATGCAACAGATTCAAGCGGAAGAAGATGATGTAACATACAGCAGTTTGGCTTAGCACCAGAGAAACCTGTGAATGTTACCCCTACTCTACATCTATGCTCATCGATGGAGGCTTTTTTAGATGACAGTCTTGCAACTTGCCGACATCTGATCTTTGGTTTTGCAGAAACCGCTTTCTTTTTTTCTTATTTCTCCCCTTCCCCTTTCTTCATATCCTTAAGCTCAAGACATTTTATGCATTGACAAAAGCTTTCTACTCTCTTACAAAAGGACTAAACTCCTGAACATTCAGGAGGAACCAAACAAATCTTACAGGTTGTTTAATTATGTTTGTTCATTTACATATTGTATTATGTGTGTTTTGTTGTTTGATGTTTGATGGAACATGAATTATAATGTTTAAAGTACAAAATAAGTCAACTAAAATAAACATTCAAATGCGATAAATCACGAGTTAATATTTCAGTTTCTGCCATCCTCCTTGTCTTCTTCTTCTTATATATTTAACTGTTCGAAACATCAACTTTCTGATGGCATAAAGTAATATTATCTCTCCATTTTTTATGCACTGTGCGTGTTTGACACATACTTCAAATGGTTGTCGTGGTTTAATGTTTTAAATAAATGAACAAGGTTTAGTCCATATGCCTGAAGTGCTATTCTTTTGTTTAGAAATATGGAACTTGTCCCAAAGTCTACAGTAAATGATATTGTAAAATTGCACTGTAGAGGCATTGTTAGTGAACTCTAATTTCTCTGATCCGGCCTTACAAATAAAGTGTTCATAAAATGTTTTGCTTGTACTATATTAATATTAATAAAGATGACCATGCATTAAATCTCATCAGATCTGATCTATTACACATCGTTTTTATTAAAAAGACGTTTGGTTTGAATCTTCCTCTGACTGAAGAGGACGCCAAACACAGCAATGTTAGGCATGTGGGGAAAACTAAGCAAATAACAAACTATGTTATAGATAATATAAAAAGACACATAAGTATTCTAGCTTTTATTATTTCACCGTACCCATTTGTAACTGAATTTTAAAAATCGGTTCAATTCATCTGTTTGATGTGTGTATATGTCAGATGCTAAGAGTGATGTGTGCTCTGTTGTAGCAAAACAAACTGCATAAAGAGTATATATCACAAACAAAACATAGATAGATTCAACTTATTGTCATTACACAGTACAGGTACCATGTAACGAAACGGTTTCTCTGCATTTGACCCATCCTAGTGTTAGGAGCAGTGGGCTGCCATTAAGTACGGCGCCCGGGGAGCAGTGTGGGGAACGGTGCCTTGCTCAGGGACACCTCGGTAGCACTTGGTCTTTCCGGGACTTGAACTGGTGACCTTCCAGTTGCCAAGCCAAGTCCCTATGGACTTCGCCACCACTGCCCATAGTTTACTACTGTAATTGGGTCTGTCTTACAGATGGAGGAGGAGAAGTAGAGTTATTACATGTAGCAAAAAAGGAAATAAAGAATCAGTCTGCCAGTGTTTGGGTTCAAGTGGTTTTCTGCCCATTTGCCAACATGACTGTTCAACTGAGCTTTCTTCTCCTCTTCGCTGGACTAACAGGTTGGTCACAAGACTCAGGTTTTATTTGTATTTGTATGCAGTATCCAACATGTCAGCTAAGTAAGTTATACCCTCCAGTTAAGCTATTATGGCCTTATGTGGAAAACAACATTATGAACTTCTACAATATGCAGGTCAACTGAAGGAGTATCTGAACAATCTGAAAAAGCACTATCATGTTTTTTACGTGTTCATCACGGCTTCCTTCTCATTTTGAGCGGACTCACAGGTCAATGACAGAAAACGTTTTATATTTGTGAATATGTTATTGTATGCTTCACATGGTAATGTCAGAAGGTAATATGGATAATTATTATTGAATATGACTTTAACATTTTTGTATTTGCTCTTGTTGCAGGAATTCACAGCATAACTACAGTCAGTAAAGTGTCAGTGAGAGCTTGAGGTTCGATCACTATCCCTTGTCTCTATGAGTCAAAGTACACAAACCATGTGAAATACTTGGGATATAGTTGGTCCTCTTGCTCATATGAGGTGAAAACAAATAAACCAAGCAGTTCAGGAAAGTTTTCGATCTCTGATGATAAAAGACAAAGAGTCTTCACTGTGACTATAAATGATCTGACTGGAGAGGACACTGGTTATTACTGGTGTGTTGTGGAGATTGATGATGGAGCAGATCTCAAAGTGTCAAGTTTTTCTGGGTTTTGGCCTGTTTTCAGTCTTATGCCCAAACTTGAGAGGCTGGAGGGCAACAGAGGACGCTTGGACAACTCGAATTCTTTCTTTTTGTCTTTATTTTCTGCTCAGCTGTTATTTATATGACACTTTTCGTCAGAATCTCATCAGCTTTGCATCAGGTTGAAAACCTTCAAACACAGAGGACAAACAAATGTTAGCACACATGCAAACAAAATCACAA